ACCCAAGTGAACAATAATAATAATTAACCCAGTAATAAGACTAGTAAAGAGGGAAGGTTGAACATGAGACTAACAACCCCATCCCCAAAAAAGCCTCAAAACTCTATCTTGTAGCCCTATGTTTCAATGGGTAAGTAAGGGGATAAAATAGGATAGAAATAGAAGATTTGTTTTATCTCCTGTGAAGTATCAAGATGCAGAATTTTTGTAATTTTGTATCAGTTCACAAAATTCACTATTGTTTAGACAAATGTATAGTTCATGTAACTGCCTAATGAAAAGGACAGTAGTTCTCCTTTCGAACTAATATCAAGCTTTCGCGTAATGCTACTTCGTTTTACATAATAATACATATTATGATGTATAACTGTCATGGGAACCAGAGTAAAGTCTATACTACTCAAAGATATTCCATGAAGATAGGCGACAAAGGATTACATTCAACAACACATCACTCTAAGCGAATGTATTTGAAACTAATGGAGAATCACAAGAATCCATATTTCACAAGATAGCTGCCACGCTAAATTAAGAATCCGTGAGAGCTTCATCAAGTGTATACTTTCAAACTATGAAGCACACAAGTAAGCATTCATCCAAAAAATATACAGTTCAATGGACCGAAAACTTCAAGTACTTATAAAATCATTTTCTGTGTCTATTAAGAAAGGTTAAGTGAGTCTTTATGAACAGTAAATAACTTTGGTGAATGAAACATAAGTCTAAATGACCTATTTTAATCTTGACATCTTTTATTGTGAATAGTATGTAAGTTTAAGTGGCGTGTAACTAACCAATGAACCGCAATAACAAATCGTAAAGCCATTATTACCTCGCCGTTTTACTGCTGCAAACTGCTTTTAAATCCTGATGACATGATTTTAATAATAATAATAAATAATGTTTTCATCATGCGAAAATTTAGTCTTCAGATAAGATTTTACTTTAGAGAGAATAAGTCACACAACAGAAAAGTCGAATTCCAAGTCCTCAAGCCATCTATATTAAACGCAAATGAACAAGAAATCACTACCAAAATGGTGAGGAGGGATAATTGTATCCTTCATGGGGAATTCAGTTAAGTTCATTCCACAGTAAAGTCTGCTCTAAAAGCGTTGTGTCGAAAGACAATGAAAGCCACACCATTGAGCTAGCCAGATCACAGTAGGCGACTACATCAAAATAATTAGTAAATAAAAGCTTGAAATGATTCTACAGATCAATAAATTTGAACGACGAATGCATCATGATTATACGAGATCATCTTTCATTATTTCCAGGATCCTTCTCAACGATACAAAGTTATAAATTACATGAAAGATTTGAACATGCTTTTTCGTGATGGTAAGGAGTAACTTGTAGGAACTGAGAGTGTCCTAGATCCGGAATGGTTTAAATTTTTAAATTATAAGGGGTTAAATAGATAGATAGGATAGAATAGGATAACTAGACAAATATGCTTGGACACACACGGACAGAGTTCAACAAATTTTCTGAGTAGAAAAAAATGTTAAGTAGAAAGAGTGTCTTTTAATACTCCCATGATTAATCTTAGAACAAGACGTGTGAGCGAACAATATTTTGCTTTCAGTTAGATCTCCTCCAACAACAACAGACTGCGCATTCACAGAAATTATGGTTTAATAAAATAGCAAAACAGGAAAAATTAGTGAGTAATGTTTGGAAGAAAGAGTAAGATTTTTAAACATGACAGAATATAAATGAAAATGTGTAACATAATAGAATTTTATACTTTGTTTTGTAAGTTAAATCATCAGCGTAGTGGAAGATTCACCACTATCTCTTTCTGCTTAGATACATTTGGATTTAATCTTTTGATGTTGACTGCGTCAGCAAAACGTAGCAAGCTAGATTTCTTCTTGCCTGCTGATTACTTTGAACACCCTCAGATCATCCGGTATATGACCAGTGACAAACAGATGGCGCGCAGTTGTATTGTTTAATGCCTGTTAGTCCTTTAGGATCAGGTTCTTTGCTATGTTTCAGAGATGGATATATGTAATTTGACACATATATATGTTGGAATTTGGCCTTCTTGTATTAAACGTTTAAGAAAAAGTAGCCGGCCTTCTTTGAACTTTAAAAATTGTAAATTTTGGCCAAATTCTAGAAGTGCAACTCCATTCACATCACTTTTCATCCTTGTTCGTCTCGTTGAACGAATTCGATATGTAACGACTCGTCTATCAAGATCAGTTTCACTGAAATATCCAAAAAAACTTTGTGTCTTCTCAGTCCCCGCCCCTCGTCGTCCGGCAAAATTCAGGAAAAGCTTGTTGTTATTCACTGTTTTCATCAGTGTCATCTTGTTATCCTAAAAAGTGCTAACATCACTCAAAGGTATCAAAATATTTTCTCATCTTATTGGCAGACTATTAAATTAGAAAATATTTTTAATTTTGGCTCATTTTTTTGGTTGTGTTTACGCAGTTATATTTTTTTGTTTATACAAACAATATTCAAGGAAATTAAAGTCTGGAAATTTAGGGGTTTGTATTGCTTTTCCAACTTTTAAGGCTATCTTAAGTAAATCGAATCCTTGTTATCCTGTTGCCTCATGAAACAAAAGATATTTCCGTTAAAAAAATATGTGGTCTTTCACTCGAATTCTTGTGACACACATGTCTGCCTTATGTTTCAAATATTGGTAGTTGAAATTTTCCTTATTCTATCATTATTATGTTCCGTTCTGAGTATAAATCAGTAGTTTTGTTGTAGTTAATCACTAGAGATAAACCGATGAGTATCGGTAGTCTACTAGATTCACTGAGCACAACATATATCAAATTTTCCCCGTTTATTAATGCTGCAATCATTCACTTATGTCCTCAGGTACCGAAATGTACTCACTCACATTTTTTAACTGCCTTTCAACCTGCTGGTGTGTATTTTTTTGCGGGGACCAAGGAAACTTGTCATAAGGGATTAGAATAAATATCATTGAGTCTATTGATACACCATAGATTACGTTTTTACTTGGAGATCCTGGATTAATAAAAAAACACTGTGCAATAAATTAACCTGAGAGTTAGAAACAACGTGTATTATTTATTAAAATATAAATAATTTAAGTCAGTTACAGGATTTCATCATGAGCTGACATTGGTTAGAGAAACACTGGAAAACCAGTAGAGAATGCTGGACAGCTGTTTCGTCAGACTAGGTTGAGACTCTTCAGCAGTACGCACTCACAGTCAGAGTTCGAATCCAGGACCTTCTGGTTACAAGCCGAGCGAGTTTGTAGACAATTAAGCCACTAGGACCTGACTCAATAGCTAACCCATGAATTCCAACTTCTCGAACCAATATCAGATCATGATGATATTCTGTAACTAATCAATCAAATCCCTACAAAACTTATACTTAAAAAGGTCAGTTAAATGCCCTCACGCACTGTCGGGTACTCAATTCCTGAATTAGGACTTTGAAACTTGGAGAAATAAATTGTTCTGTATGTGTTTTTTCAATTCATGATGAATGTTTAATTAAGAAGAAATAATTTCCTCTTAAAGATTTTCTAGTGCACACAATTTCGTGACCCAGTAATGCATGACTTGATCAGGTTATCAGACAAAAGGATAAAACGAGAAAGGTAGCTATAATTAATGCAAATAAACAAGCCTCCAACACTGTTTAGTTGTTTATTTTTTCACTGAATTGTTCTACACTTTGTATTTATAACCTATATATATTATTACAGAAACTTTTTGATTATATATGTATTTGAATGATATCATTAAACTGTAATCCGTCAAAACAACAGTAGTTGTTATGATTTATTCGGGTCAGATGGAATTTTCATTTGATCATTTCATAATAAGTGAATTCCCTTGTGTTTGAATGCCGAGGGCATTAAATGATTATCTCTCGCTGGGAATCAAAACCGTCGACATCATTAAAGTATATTTGTTAGCTAGTTTGGTGTCAGTTCTACTTTTCAAACAAACTTTGATGCATTATATTTAACGTAGTCAAAGGCATAATCTAGTAGCGATAACTTTATGCGATTGCAAAAGTAATGAAGTATGCTCTAATCTATATCTTATCTCTCTGTAAGAAATTCTGTGTCACATACACAATTGTGTTTTACGAGTTGATCACGGATTGATATCAGTTAGAGAACCATTGAAAACCAGGGAGTACTGGACAGCTGCTGTTTCATCCTATTTTGGGAATCATCGGAAGGACGCACCCACTGCCATCGTTCGAACCCAGGACATTCCGGTTACAAGGCAAGCTCGTATACCATTCAGCCACTGGGACCCGATTCAATGGCTCGTGAATACTAACTCCTACCAATTCCTGATTTAGCGCGACCCCAAACACGAGCCATTGAATCGGGTCCCAGTGGTTGAATGGTATACGAGCTTGCCTTGTAACCATAAGGTCCTGGGTTCGAACCGTGAGGGTGGGTGCGTGCTGATGAAGAGTCCCAAACTAGGATGAAACAGCAGCTGTCCAGTACTCCTTGCTGGTTTTCAATGGTTCCCTAACTAATATCAATCCGTGATCAACTCGTAAAACATAACTAATCCTTACAAACCAAACTATACCATTGTGTTTCATAATTAGCGAATGACTATCATTCCATTCTTTTCTTTTCTTTTGATTATAGCCTGATTCTACACAGTACTCTTTGGTACAAGTATGGCATTTTCAGCATGTGATATCGGCAGGCCAAATTTTGCATGCCGACCATTAATATCAGGTGTGCGTAGGCAGGGGGTCGAATCCTGGACCATGTGCATGGTGGGTGAGGATCCTAACCGCTGTGCTACTGACTCACATTCATAATAATTTCAATCAGTTGACTTGTGTTATGATAAGTCAGGGAATTAATACTCTGAATGTGAGGCATTTCAAAAGGTCTGTCATTATTTCAGTGATATTTCAGTCTGTTCTGTTGAACAGAGACGCATCATCTTATTTACATATGCCTTCCTATTCTCATTTGTCGTTTTTTCACATTCACATTTCAGCGTTAATTATAACTGGATCACGATTCTGTCATAAGCCAATGGCTATACGCGCCAGTTACTCAATAGCATATTTTCTTCATTGGCTCAAACTTTTTCTAAGTATTTGCTTTTGTTATCCTGTGAAATCAGTGAATGCAAAAACACCTGCCAAGTAAGTTACACACTTTAACATTCCTCGCAGACTAGTTCATCATTTTCGTATATCAAATTTTTTTATCGAAAGAGTAGAATGTGAAGTAAAAAATAAACTGTAACTCACTTTTACCAAGTTAGATACATTTGAAATCATTAGAAAACTTTTAGAAGATTATGTTCAATATTAAAAAGTTCAGTTCTTATAGTCTCGTTCCTTTATACTGCCTCTACTAAATGTTTTTTTTTCCTTCACGTTCCCCAGTGAAACATAGGGCCTCAAGCTAGTGGCTTGAAGTTTCTGTAGCAATGTTTATTTTACAGGATGGGGTTGCTAGCCTCATGCCCAACCTTTCCTCTTCACCAGCAATGTTTCTGGCTTAGTGAGGTAAAGTGGTAAAGGAGTGCGTCAGCCGGGGATCGAACCCCGGCATGATCGGCGAGCGTCCTAACCGCTGTACCACCAACACACCATCTTTAGAATAGTGAATATTTTTTGTGTAGAAAAGTGCTTTTTCATTTCATTTATCTTTAATTTGTTCAAAATTTGCCTTCAAATTTCGGTATTTATATTCAACATTATGATAAAGGGTTTAGAATTCAACTGATAAGCGTCTGTGTATTGTTAATTAGTGATTTGAATTAACTCAAATAATGACGCATCTTGATAACCGTATTTTAAAATTATTGTCGTATTGAGGTGAGACATGGGAATGTAATCGCCTTAAATGTAGAACTGATATGGCTTGCCCATTTGAAACAGTGAAGTTATCATGTATCTTACAGTCGAAGTGATTTTCTGGTAAAAATAATAATATTCTTTGTTCCAGAAACAGTGCTAGTGGTACAGTGTGGAATTTTCAGCACATATCTACAATATTCCGCCTAATTTCATCACATATTTAAAAGGAGTATTTCAAAAAATAAATATAAAAACACCAGCAGCAACAAAAAACAAAAATAACCAAAAAATGCAAAAAAAATACCCAGTAGAAAGGAAAATAAACAACAATAATAAATAATATTTCTGTGTTGGATAGTGGAAGCTATGATATGTGTATGCGTGGTGAACAGTAACAGCTATAATCATACAAGAAGTTATGAAGTGTTATTAAGAATGTTTATAGCCAAGATGATCAGTTAATTTGATTGAGCAACATTAAACAATCATAAAATAAACACTTCAGGTTGTTGTTTATTTATTTATTGTCAGCTCTAATGCAGTGTTTGTAGTGGTAGTGTGAGTAATCCTGCATAATACAAAACTTTTAAAATGGTAATAATGGCATTCACAACAAAGATTGTCAATTAACATTGCCGAACGAAAAAAAACAATCATAAAACTAATATTACATAATGGTTAATGACAGGACAATTTTGTAATACTCATAGTGATAATATAGTCGGAACCAGTAGATACACAAAAGAAGGAATAGAATAAAGTATAAAAAAGTAAGCCAATGTTAATAATTTTAGGTAGCTAAGTATGTTTAAGAATGTTGTTCACTATAGAATACAAATAAGAGAGAATAAGAGTACTTGTAGTTAACGCTGATCATTAAAAAAAAAGAATTAAACGAAAGACACTGGCTGGCAGTGGTGCTATGTATCGTGAACTGGCGGAATTTAGAATTCATGAGCTCTTGTATTTCATCCCGGTGCCTGAATGGTCAACAAACTCTCCTTGTGACCTGATGGTCTTGGGTTCGATTCCTGCAGGCGTAAGGGGTATGTCTTATTGAAAAGTGCCATACTAGGACGAAACACCTATTCGGTACTTCCTACTGCTTTCCAGTGGTCCTTTAAATGATATCAATCTACGGTCTAGCTTGAAATAAAACAAAAATCTGTTGTTTCAGTCGATCAGGTCTTGAAGGACTTTATCTGCAGAGTATATATGTTCTTTATAGGTGCCAGTTCTTTTTGTATTTAGACAACACAAAGCGGGGGGAGCGACTTGAGGGTATATTTTAATTTGAATTCTGTTCAAATGACTCTTAATTTCACTCTATGTAGCAATTTTATTAGCCATTATCGTGAAACTATGTCAAACAAGTAGACTTATTAATGTCCTATTGAACATAATAAATCTTGTCCTGTAAAATGAAGTTTGTTCGTAGTTGTCAAGTGAATTTTAGGTCACATCCGGGCTGATATAATCAGACAATTTCGAGATGAAAAACAGTTTGACCTCCACCGAGAGTGATTAGAAAATTTATGTCGATTGATACATGTAAGGTCATTTATAAAGTTATGTTTGTAAAATCTCAGCGAAATTGAAATGATTAATTCCAACGTTTCGTTCGGCAATCTGGTCCGAACTTCTTCAGGGAAATTAATCGAAATTAACATAACAAAGTTTATATATAAAGGGACACATCTTGTTTTTAAAATTCTTGTCCAATCATGAATCATGCAACAGGTATCAACATGTATCATAAATAAATAAATATAATTGTATGTTTATACAAAAGTACAGTCAATAGGTATGCTAAACAAAACAAAACAAAAATTGTATGAACTATGATCAAAAAACTTTTGACCTCAGACTTTCAAAATTTGTCTACTTTTGTTAAAATATATGTGTGTATGCAGTATATGCAGGATACAATGGTGTGTGTATGTGTGTGTGTGTGTGTGGGTGGGTGGAACAGTCATAAAACATTTGCTATTCTCATATGAGCTGTGATCAAGATTTGACCGGATAGTTACAAAAAATTGACATTTTTATAAATATAATTTAATTTTTATAGATTTGTTATTCTCTCCATAAGAAGACGTAGACAGTCGGGAATTTGACTAAGTGTGACTACTTGATCATACATATCAAATTTTACTTTGTTTATTAGTCAGGATTTGCCATGCATCGGCTAACATCACACCTTCACGTCTGTTTAAACTGTTGGGATTCACCCATATATGTAGGGCTTCTGCAGTTAGTCTTTCTTGATATGAACCAAAACCTTTTTGTAAAACCTTAGTCTTATCAAAGTCGATTTTGTGTCCTGTTTCTATTGAATGTAGCGCAATCGCTGAGTTGTTTTCTAGCTTCTTCAAGTCTGCAGAGCTCTTTGGAACCACCTTTAGACATTGTTTATGCTCTTTCATTCTTATATTTACCTGTCTAGAAGTTTCTCCTACATATACTGCGTTACAATCCCCACAATTGATCTTGTATACGCAATTCTGCTGGTTTTCTTGTTCTATTTTATCCTTAACCTTCACCAGCAATGAACGTAAGGTGTTAGATGCACGAAAGTACACTCTTATGTTGTGTTCGTTAAGGATTCGCTTTATTTCATCGGATGTTTCTTTGCCGTAAGGAACCACCGCTGTACTAACCCAATTCTTAGCAGCAGGTTTTGATTCATCCTTATCTTCACATTTTAAGTATCTCTTTATGAAGGCTTTAGGATAATTATTTGACTTAAGAGTGGATTGAACTAATTTTAGTTCCTCGTTAATATCTTCCTCCTCAGTAACTAGACGTTTGGCTCTGTTGATCAGATTCTTGGCCACAGTTACTTTGGTGGTAAATGGGTGAAATGTCTACTTCTCACTCAGCGCTCAATTATTTTGCAACTATCCAATCAAATCTTGATCACAGTTCGTATGACATGTAAGGTCATGTTACTAAAAAGTTGAGATACAAACGTTTGCGTTTATACACTATACGATAAGAACAGTGTGAAAAAACTGAACAAGGTGTATTTTTTAAGTGAGAAAACGGGCATTTAATCAACTAAAATATTTAAAAAATTCTCTATAATACAGTCAATTAAAAGACATCATTTTCTTTCTGTATAAATTTAAACTGTCAAAAATTGAATTGTGCATTGTAAAAAAAAAGAAGAAGACAAAGAAGAATCATCTTCACATATCAAGTCTCTTGAGAGAACGAAACAGAACAGAAGAGAATAGAACAGGGATTACTGTAAAAGAATTAAGTGGAAGGGATTTAAAAAAAATTTTTTTTCTGTTTCTTTTTTCACATTGGCCTTATTTCCCTCCTTATTTTCCACTTGATCTTGATGAATCCACATAGATTCATTCAGTCTCACTTTAATTAGTTTGATGGAGTTCTCCTTCTTCTTTTTTTCTTTGTCTGTAATGATTGCATAGAAGGATAGATACACTTTTCAGATTTAATTGATTAATTATGCTTAAATTCCTCCTCTTTGTATTCTTCTTCTTATCCTCCATCTTCTATTTCTTCAACTCTTGAGACTATTTCCTCAAGTTGTGTAGTTATCTACAGAAAGAATTCTTCAGTTAGACAGTTTAAAATTGTAGGATAAGTGTGAAGGGTAGTGAAGTGAATGAAATCAGTGAGAAGTATCAAGCCAGAGAGTTTTACCTGGTTGTTAATTTCTGTGTATATAGATGTCATTCTTTTCTAATAATAGAATAATACAGAAAGGCATAAATTACTCTGAACACTTGGATTTGTTGCACACACAGAGTTAATGATAGGATGAATAGTTAGTTTGGTATCCTTTCTTTTTTAAATGAATCCGCTAATTTTGGAATAGCTTTAGAAATTGCTTTCCATATTTTAATTATAAGAAAGTAGTACGATATTTCACACATATGAAATCAGTGCAAATGCATTCACGAAGATATGGTCATTTCCTGTATAGTCGAATCATGCTGTACACATAACCACCATAAATATTATCGATTGGCATAAAACTCAGAAGCAAGAAGAGTACATGAATAATAGGAACATTCTTATATTATTATTATCCTCTTTGGTCCTGAGTGAAATGTAGAACTTCGACAGTGATTCTCCATTTCATCTTGTCCAATCTAGTCTTCGTCTAGCTGCACGATTGTGCATAAGTCTTCATCTTCATCACTTACATTCAACCCATCATTTCCCATTCAAGTTCCAGCAGAAGGTCTAGAGCGTGATTTTATTGAATGGTCTCCTTTCACTGCCATCAATGCATCTCCGTTTGGTCCTGCTTATTTGCTGGGTGATAGATTCATGACTGTTACCTTTTGAGAGTTCCTTGTTGCTTATCCTTTCAGAACACCTATCTCATCTTCAGAATGGAGTGAAGGTAACTGTTGATGAAAGTCTGCAACGCTTCAATTTTCTGAAGCATATGGTACCACCGACTTAACATTAGTCTTGAAGATCTGGACATTGCTGTTTACGCTGAGTGAAGTAGATTCACATATTCGTTTCAGAGTAATGAAAGTCACCTTTTTCTTCCTACTTTTCATATAGTTATCTATGCCGCTGCCTGTAGTCATAACTACCCCGTCTATTGATAGTGATTGCTTATAGCTTTCATTTTTTATTGGTCAGGTACATTCATCACCTGTGTCTTCTCAAGATTAACTTGAAGTCCTATCTTCACTTCCTGTTCTGCCAACTTGTTGGTTTTCACCTGTAGATATTAGAATTTATGAAACATCTATCACTCGAAAAGTCCAAATTTTCTAGAGTCTTTTGTTGATTCTTTATTTGCCCCTCTAATCAATCTCATCACAATTAGGGATATCGTCGGTGATAGTGGAAAGCCTATCCTAACTCTTATATTCATTTCAAACGCTTCACTGCGCTATCCATTGCGAATCACTTGTTATGTAACCTCATTATATAGAGCTGATAAAAAGGTTTGATGACGACTGGTGGCATTCTACTGTGTTGATGTAGTTTTCAAATTACTTTAGATACACGATTTAGACCGTTCTTATTCAAATTTTCTATGGGAATTTACACGGGAATCTAGTCAGTATACAGGAAAAACCTGTGAATAAAGCAATTCAAGGCGGTATAATCATATTTGTACAACTCCAACTACATAGGAATTCCTAAGTGCATGTTTCGTAAGCGATATGCTTAATTATTGTTCAAATGTGAGGTTTTAGATGGCTTGAGGCAGTTGACCACAGGAAACCTTGGACCTGGGTTTTGTGCTAGTTGGCCCTCACCAATCAGCAAGACGTATCTGTAACCTCGAAGGAACTCATGTCCCTCCTGAGATTCAAACCCGTGTCACCCAGTGCTGGAGCCGGAGACATTACCACTGAGCTATTCAGCCACCGAAGATAGGACTAGACACATTACACTAGTTACTGACTAGTGGCTAATCAAAAACATCCAATGCACTCCAACTGGAGGTCAATCATTAGCCTGAATAGCTCAGTGGTAGCGTCTCTGACTGCAGTACCGGGTGACGCGGGTTCGAATCTCAGTAGGGACATGAGTTTCTTTCAGATTACAGGTACGACTTGCTGATTGGTGAGTGCCAACTGGCACGAAACCTAGGTCCAAGGCTTCCTGTGGCCAACTGCCTCCAACCATCTAATACCAACAATCCATAGTGTACCGTGATAGTAAGTCACCTAGCATGGTGGCCACATTACAGGCTTGCAAGGATAGAATTCAGTCTGCACCAAAGATAGGACTAGACACATTACACTACTTACTCACTAGTGTCGAATCAATAATGTGAGGTTAGATTTGATGTGTAATCGATAACCTAAGGTTGCCAAATGCACTCACTTTGTACTCATGTTACTGCTTCCTACTATACTGTTTTACAGCAATATGATTTTATTGTGTAAAGAATAACTTTAAGAATGAACATCACTGTTAGCTGAAATATTTCGCTGAACATCTTAAGAATTTCAGTGATAAATCTGATGACAAATTCAAAATAAGTAACATTACAGAGTATTTAATTGAATTTTAGATTTTCTCGTCTATTGATTGGACCCGAAATGCTCGTCTAAGCATCTGCACAAGAAGCCGACATGTCAACCTGAGACCAAGCACTTCGGTCCAAACAATCGATGGAAAAAACTAAAATTGAATTAAATAATTAATATGACCCGTTGCACAAGAGGTGGCTCTCGTGACCCAAGTTGTCTAATGAATAACCCTTTGGTGTTTGAAACTATGAGCACTGGGTTCAAGCCTCGATGGGAACATCATCACTCACTGGGGAATGCAGATACATACAGTTGACGAGTCCGGAATGTGATAAAATGAGCATCCTGGATTCCACTGCTAGTCACCATCCAGCAACTAAACATTATGGGCTGTTTGAAATAAACTTAGTTAAAGAACACTATTTTACACATGGCTTATGAATCAGTTTGAATTTACATCTCAATTTTCTGTCCACAAAACACCAAGCAGTATTTAAATCTTTAAGTTAATTTAGCTATAATTTAGGATAGAATACTTTCTCAGAGTATTGGTTTTATCTGCACTATCTTGTGGAGGAACATGACAGACGCTTATCAAAATTTTTTTTCTGCTATTCTATTCTGAAATATAACTCTAGATGTGAATTTCATATGTTCGCTGCGGAATATTATGACAAATGACGTGGACTGGTACAACGAGAACAAGAGAATTCACTTGCTAAAAAAGAAATAGTAAAGAAATGACACCATGCTGGAGTTGTGAAAAAAATGATAGTTGCTAAAGTTTTTGACAATATTTTATGTTACATTTTTGAAAGTAATTAATTTGCGGTATTTCCATTTCTGTGACACGTGAAACAAAGAGAATAAATAAGTTATTAAACTATATACTAAACATAATAATACTAACTATTACTATTATTATTATTATTACTGTATTTCTAATTATAGAATCATTGTTGTATATCACCGGATTTGTCCAACATCAACAACTAATATGGCACTTTTTTCATTAATTGAAAAAATGTGGTTCAGTTTAGTTCGACACTATGGACAAATTTTAGTAAGACTTCAAAAGGCTGGAAAACCTTCTGGTAAGTGTTGTTCTTATAGTTTCAATGTTTAATTAACAGAAATCATTGAGAATTAGTTTGTATTTGAGATAATTGTTGCTTCTTTCGTTTATTCCTTGGCATCTTCATTGGAATGCAGGGGGCTTCAGCCTTTAAGCTGTGAAGTTTTATTAGAGGATGGTGTTGATTTTAACAGAGTGGGTCTGCTAACTTCACAACCAACCCTCCATCCTATTCGCGCTTAATATCAGCTAGTTAACTAGGGGAGGTTTAGAGGATTTTGCTCGTAAGGAATCAAATTGACACTACATGTGTGCTAGCGAAAATTATACTGCTTAAGCTCAGATGCATGATGATCCCATTACTGAGGGAATATCAAAAAAATCTAAATTTTCAGGCATTTATTGTTCTCTTTGAAAGTAATACTGCTTCTGCTTTAAGAAAACTGAATATCTGATAGTACTTCGACTGATTAAATTCATGAATGTCAGCATACAAATCGACTTCAAAAGTATTAATGCCTTCAAAAGTCATAGTGAAGTTATGGTGACTCATAATAAATCATTAAAATGAGAAATATATGTGGACTTTAAATGAACCTGCTTCGTCACCGTAGTTGCCAGAGCTTACGCTGTCGTCGTAACCAATTAGATATGTAGAACGTAGAGTGATTTTAGAAATATGAATTTGTATTCTAAGATCTATCAATTTTGGTTTTGGTTTTATTCCTTTACGTTCCCAGTGGAACATAGGGCTTCAAGGTAGAGGCTTGAAGTTTCTGAAGCAGCGGTATTTATTTTTAGGGGATGAGGTTGTTAGCCTCATGCCTAATATTCCCTCTTTACTAGCCTTATTAATGAATTAGCGAGGTAAAGGGGTGCGTCAGATGGTGGTTGAAGCCACATGCGTGGTTGGCGAGCATTCTACCACTGTACCACCGACTCAGTTTTGGTTAGGCCTCATAAAACGTCTCCATTACTTTCAAAAGGAATTTTTTTCAATAATTAAGTAAAGGCGTTGCAAGCTTCATGATCTTATTTGCCAATGGGCGGGGATATAGAATATCATGCCTCAGCCAAACAAACATTTTATCATTATTATTATTGTTGCCTTAGCTTCGGAGTAGAAAATAGGTCTTCAATAGCACACCTCTATAGCACACCTTACTTTCCTCTGCAGTACTTTTTACTTCGTCGTTCGATCCCTCATAAGCTTTTATCTCCTTTTCACGTCACCCTCTGATAACCAACTCGCTGTATATCATTCGGGTTCTACTCTAAGCCTGGGAGCGAACTAAAAGTTGTACTCAATGCCATTTGATGAAATTTCGGTTGAAATTCATGGTACATACTACGGAAGTTTGATGGTACGATATCTTGTGATAGTGCTCTAATTTGATATGAATGTTATTGCCGTAGGAAGCGGTTTTCGCCGCAAAATACAAAACATGTATACTACCTCTATAGTGGTGTATACATATACAATCTTTCTACTCAAGTATATATTAAGCATTTTAATGACTATTAAAGAGGTAGACGCGTCGGTGGCACAGCAGTTAGGACTCTCTTCGACCATGCACATAGTCCGGGGTTCGATCCATGGCCGACGCACTCCTTTATCTCGCTAAGCCAGAAATAATGCTGGTAAAGAGGAAAGGTTTGGCATGAGGCTAGCAACCTCATCCCCTAAAAATAAACACCATTGCTACAGAAACTTCAAGCTTCTAGCTTGAAGCCCTATGTTCCAAGGGAACGTGAAAGGGAAAAAAAGAGTAAGACAGAGTTTCAAATGAATTGAACAGAAATTATATTATTACTATTAGAGCAGGACAATTGATTATTATTATCACTTTGTTTCCTTTCTTTCAGTAATTCCAAATTGTAAATACAAACGTGTCTGTTGCTTGCCAGCATTTATTGTAATGATCGCCTTTTGGATAGCATTATTCATCTCCACTAGTATAATGCGACTTTACTCAGGTCAATTAACTAACTTACTTGGCCATGGTGGTCTCTTATCCTTATTTGTAATTATGAGTTCAATAATGTTTCTTAGCTTTTTTGGATCATTACCATCACTGTGTCGAATTTTCAAAGGTCTTCTAATCCATCCAATGACACCTGTTAAAACAGCGTTATCAGCTTTTGTAAAAACTGAAAATGATACAGACAGAGAACTATTTAGTACAAAGTCAGTTGGCAAGATAAATGAAGCTGCCCTGCTATCAAATTCAACATCATTTAAAGATCTTGCAATATCTGCTGAAGAGCAAAGAGCCTGTAAAGCAGATTTATTTATCAAATCAGAATTTGCAAAAATTTGTAATCTATCTGTTACATTTGATCGTTTCACTAGTACACAACAAACTAGATTTATTTTATGCTTAGATGCTAGTAGTACACTACAAAAAGATTTACTAGCAAAGTTAATTTATCAAATTCATAATTTAATCTTATCTGATATGAATGCACCAGTCGCAATTGTACTTGAGGCTAATTTTCGAGTAAGTTATGCATTTACACATTTTTTTGTTTTGTTATTAAAGCATACCTTTATACAACTAATCTAGTGTACTAGTGTAAATCGATACACCTCAGTGATATAAAATTGTTACACTGTATCTGTGATGTTTAGACTTTTCTAAAATAACAATATTGACTGTGTAAAGTCCTTGAGATTTCTGTAATTCACAGATATGAAATAAACTCTCTGTAGTATTTATCATGTTAAATAAAGAGGATAAAAGCAAATATAGATCGTAAAAGCGACTAATTCATCTAAGAAATTTGACAAACTGACAGTTTTCATTATACCTTTCGTTACATCAGTGTTATTTAATAAAAGTTGATGCGCCACACCATTCACTACCTTATATTGATACATATTCAGTTTACTTGAAGATTGAATTATATCAGTAAACTACATAAACTTTCGGTAATGAAGAATAAAGAAAACGAGAGACATAGAGTGTAACAATCCAGACTTGAAAGATTAAAGAGATTCAAAAAGACTTGAAATACAAGGCGTCGGTGAAAAACCGTGTAACAAGCAGGATCGAAGATATCTACAAGTTCTAAAGACAATTCAGCAAAGTAGTGAACTGGAGTATATATATATATATATATATATATATAATGTGTATGCAAGCAGTGTCAATATGACGGAGGGAATCACTAGTAGTCATTAAAAATTGCTGGACAGCTTATGAAGGGAAATTATAACCTAATTTTATGCTCATAATATAGCCTCGACTGGCAAATAAAGGTTCACAATTAGAATATCCAGCTAAGTAAATACGATGCTACCGAGTTTTTTAACATGATTTATAGACATTTTTACCTTTTGTTGCTTAAGTAAAACATGACTACAGTTCCCCATGATTGAAAATTTGTCATATCAGTGTTCTCTGAGAGCAACCTTAAGGTCTTACATGATACAGCTTATTCATGGAATTCTTACAACTGATGGCTGGGCGTCTCCACGTAAATTCGATATCTGAATATACTTACGTACTGAGAAGAGTAGTTAACTCATATGTGCATAAATTACATGCTTACCATTAATCTAGTACTCTCTACTGACTTACAATAGGATGACTTTTCCTGAAATTTCAGTGAGAGGCAACGTCAAACAGCGTCAATAAAGTTGAAGGTGAAGATAAATGCTCTCTGATGATATTGGCTAGTGATAGCGCTAGATTACTGCAAACTGACAGAAATTATAATTGATGGTCCAGCCATTGTATTCCGTCTCACAGAGCTGAATGTTTCATGACTTCACTCTACGACTTAAAAGTCCTAGATTTGATCACCAGTGAGGTCATACGTACGTACTTCTAAAGAGTGCCAAACAAAGGGGAAACACTTGTCCACTATTCCTCTCCAGTTTTCAGTAGTTCTGGAAGTGAAGTCACTTAGTAGACAACCTCGAGATTTGTATGTTTATAATTTCCCATGGATTGAGAACTTTCAAATCATTTTACACTATTCTGATTGAATATTTCAAAAACTAGTCGTTCCTATATTTACTTTCACCTAAAATTCACCTGATTACTAGTAGAAGTAACTATACTTGTATTCAGCGTGAAACTATCAATTTTACATTTCCTTTTGTCATAGAATGGATGTATGCACACACCGGATTTACAAAACAGTTAGTCACACATAATCACCGCCACTCACGAACATACATGTACATACACACAGAGAGACACACTGTAGATTGTAACAGCTAATGGAGAAGCGCTACTCACTACCTGGACATTTTCTACTTAATAAACTTTTTACATTAAAAGCAATGATAATTCTCGTTGTAGAATTCATTCAAAAGAAACACTAATGAAAACACTAATAGAAGTTATCTAATCATGATAAAATACTCTAATAGATGCTCTTTAACGAAGTATTCTATTATCTTAAACTATATTAATGTTGACTTAATTGGATTTCCAGTCCATGTGCACCTATAAGACTCTCTGGATTAAGTTTGATCACCACTGAGAAACCACAGAGTACTGGAAAACTGTTTCATTCTAGCTTAGGACTCTTCCTCAGTAGGAACCCCCTGGAGTTTGAACCAGTGTGATTTAACATGTCACGCTTAAAGACAAATATTGCTCTGTACTTCTAACAAGTCCTCAGTAGTATTCTAACTGAAGTCAAACAGTGGACCAATCTTGAAATCTCATCGTTATGGTTTGTAATACAAAATACACCTCAAACATTTAGTGCAAGTAATGAGAAATATAAGGCGTTGGTGGCATAGCGGTCGGGACGCTCACCGACTGTGCACATGTTCCGGGGCGCGATCTCCGGCCGACGCACTTCTTTACCTCGTTAAGCCAGAAACAACTCTGGTGAAAAGGAAAGGTTGGTCATGAGGCTAGCAACCCCATCTTGTAGAAATACACACTGCTACAGAAACTTCAAGCCACTAGCATGAGGCCCTATGTTCCACTGGGGAACGTGAAGGAAACAAAAATGAGAAATATATATATTCTTACATACAACATTGTTTTTTGTCAATTAAATTAAAAAATTCGTACTTCAATCCACTTAGGTTTAAAATGTGATGATCGCCTATGCATTCCTCATCCTCCCTTCAATATCCTAGATGGCATAAAAGTGAAGTATTGGGAAGTATCTTGGAAATTCTCAACGAGACTCACAATTCTCAGTATTGGCTTTATTTACTTATTTATTTTTTTAAACTATGTCTATCTAACGTCTATTTATTCATTCGTAAACTCCATACAGAAAATTTAATTAAACCCAAAATGATTTGAAAACAAATTTTCAAGTAGAAGTTGATTAGTTAGTTAGCAAATGGAAATTAGGCCACCTTTTTGGTGCGAAATAATAATAATAAAAAATTGTTTCTTTTTCTGTCTCTTTATAAGCACTAGATATTTTTTTCCCTGTAAACTTTCGAAATCCTGAAGTATACTAAATTCCCGGCATTTCTTCAACTTAATTTAGTAAATCTTGAAAACAGCAATTAGTCTGAAGATTTTTTTTAATTTTCTTAATAAGACATATATACAATTTTAGACTACTTGACTCAAGAGCTTTTCTGGTACACCTACATAGTACTGTGTATGTCTATAAAGTTTAGTAATTGATAGCCAGCAGTTGATTCCAGAACTCGTAATTCGTCCTACTTAGAAGTCTCCATCTACATTTGTCAGTGTACACCGTGTTAAGTGATGATGTCCTCAGTAAGAATTCATTGGAAGGTTTACAGAATAATATCGCAATTATCTTAATCTATTCAAAGTACGGCGAGTTAAAAGGTCATTGCATGGAGCTGACATCAGCTAGATGGTTGCAATATGTCTGCTATGGATTGGCAGAAGTTATAATTCAAGGACCATTGAATCGGGTCCCAGTAGCTCAGTGGTCTACCAGCTGGCTCGCCTTATAACCAGAAGGTCCTGGGTTTGAACCCTGGTGGGTGCGTACTGATGAATGGTCCCAAACCAAGATGAAACAGCTCGCTGTCCAGGTTTTCGAACGGTTCTCTAACTGATGTCAGCTCATGATGAAATCTTCCATGCAATCAAACTCAAAATCCCTACAAAACCAGTAATTGAAAATTAAGAAATCATTGGAAATATACGGATAACACTAAATAATGAATAGGTATTATGTCACATTTAACTCAGTCTAGTACAAAAAACTGATAACTTTTATATCAAAACAATAATAATAATTATATGACATAAGAGGTGTTCAGTGATAGTACATCCTATGACATAATGCTGTCTGATGTGAAGAGCGAACGAATCCACTATGATATTCCTTCTTTGTCTTTCTGGAAAAATGAACAGTATTTAATTGGAAGTCAAATTATAAGAAGTTAAAGGGTACATTTTGAGATGTAATTCAGGAATAGTCATCTCATGTAATCGGATACGTTTTCCCCCACTACTATACTTTTTCTCAAGTTTATTAAAATAAAAGCTTGAGAATTAACAGGTTATAAACATTTTAAATTCTCGGGAGAGTAAATAGTAACAGCAGAGGTCATATTTTTAAATTGACTGAAAAAAAAGGGAACAAAAGAAATCACATACAATGTAGGTAGGGGTGGAGCTGTTTGGTTTCCCAAGTTTTAAGCAGTCTTCGGAGTTTGGTATTCCTTTTAAGTAAACACAAAAGAATGTTTCATATAGGAAAATCTAATCAAATAAATTGTTTACTGAGAGATGTAGTGCGCAGTGGGCAAATTTCTCAAAATCTAAGAAATCCAGTGAAACTTCCACAGCTCAGAAACGTTTCGGCCACAGATTTACACGATATATGCTATCAAGCTACGAAGTTGATTTGAAAAATCAGAAAGAACGTTTCACCGCAGAAGCATTTCAAATAAAGTTGTGTCTAAATTTTCTGGAAAAGAGTGACAGGTTAAAAAGAATTTCCCTTGGAATTATTAGACTCTCATCAACTAGTTGATTAATTAATTAACTTGGCTAAGACAATTGTGATAAGCATTTTTCACTGTTTAAGCTCATGCAGTTTGTATAATTTATCCACTTCTCATGTCAAACTGTCTGAGCACATCTGTTATCTTTATCATTTCATCCACTTTTGACAAGGCAGAATTATATGATACAAAAATACTTGATCTAGTTACTATATGTCAGCTGAGAATTTATTGACACTCGTTAACTATTGTTTGATATAGTTTATTATTAGCATTATATGACAAAATGAATACCTCTTAGCTCTCCATTCAGAAGAAAATACAAATTTCAACTGATAACTCTTTAGACAGGTTTGATTTAATCATTTTCTAACGAAAAGCAAGAGTGAGCTTTGAGAAGACCTAAAATAAAATAATCATCGGTTCTAAAAGCTCTGGTTAAGTCCCATTTTCAGCAAATAATTTGTCACTTATAAAGTTATATTTGTAAAATCTCAGCGAAATTGAAATGATTAATTCCAACGTTTCGTTCGGCAATCTGGTCCGAACTTCTTCAGCGAAATTAATCGGAATTAACAT